TTGTTTTATGATATGATTACTTAATTTATGAAATACAGCAAAATTTATCAGGCCAATTTTTTGAAAATTAATTAAAAAAAAGCACAATATTGTTTATAAACTAGTATAAATTTTGAGTTCTTTATTGATGGCTAAACGAATGCACAAAAATAGTCAAAGTTGCAAATTAAGTGTTATGATTGGTTTTGCAAGTGAATTTTTAGATTCAGAGTAACCAACATTAAGAGATGTTATTAAATATGGTCTGCTTCTAAGAAGAGATATAAACTGTAAAGCAAATGCAAAACTTAAAGATAAATGCAAAATGGTTTTTTTAAAAGTGAAAACACAATGGTTGAAAGCGAATTCTGAAATTCCAATTGTTACGGACAAGTTAGATTATGGAAAAAAGCTACAGATATTGTTAACTTTAGGTCCAACACTGACACCATTTCTAAGTTTAACTCTAAGCTGGACAAGCTATTTGATATAGTGAAGTGCAAGTGTGACATTGTTTTTTGTGAGGAGGCAAGTTGTAATTCATGTGTTTTTAAAGCTCATATCTCTTGTCAATGCGAAAGAGAAAACAAAATTCCCAGAATAGAACTTCAGTTTATGAAATCGCAAAGAGAAAAATTTGGGACAAATAGTTTGTATGCAAATGGGTGCTCAAGATTTTAAATAAGCTAACAGACAAGAAAAAATTTATAAAAGGAAGGAAACTGAAAAAAAGAAGTCACAAATAGAATGCATATCTTTTTACTCTCAAGAAAAAAAAACTAAAGTGCCAATTGAAAATTTTGAGAGTACTGACGATGTAGATGTTGAAAGCGAAGAAAATTCTGCAAAAAATTCTGAGTACATAAGCAGACAAGCTCCTAAAAAGTCATTGAATATGAAAGAAGTTGCATTACCATCATTAAGATATGGTGTATAGCAAGTGCTGCAATTTCAACACTAACACTGAAAACAGCTAAAGAGGCTGGCTTTTTTAAAACGAATGTGAATGATAGTAAAACAGTGACAGATCACAAGAAAATTGAACGCTCTAAATTGAAGGTGATGAAGCAATTAAAATCTAAAAATGATGATATGGTAAAAAGAAATGGAGTTCAATGTATAATGTTTGATGGGAGAAAGAATGAGACAAAATTTCATTTGATTGGAGAAGATAGAAAATTTCACAACAGACTTCTACAAGAAGACCATTATTCAGTTTGTGCAGAGCCAGGTGGTTTATATTTGTACCATTTTACATATGACAAAGGAAAACAGATCTGAGGTTGTTACCCCAGCAGAACATTTATACATTTAACAATTATACATTTAATAACTTTATATTTTACAAAAGCCCATCTGTGTATTTAACTATAATATATATTATAAAATAATATATAAAAAGAATATTATATTTTAAGTAAATTAGATTTTTTTTTTTTTTTTTGCAAAACAAAAATTTTTTATTGCATCAAATTATCATTAAGCAAACTTAAAATAGTAAAGTATATTTATGAAGAGGAAGCGAAACTGCTTCACAATATCTCTGGTGTATTTAGTGAGTAGGCTTTTTAACATATATGTATGTTTTTATTCTGTATAGACCATTGGTGTGGTGCTGGTTCACTAGTAAGTCACTTTATAAAAATTTATTGTTGTGTTTTGTTTAAATCACTGCCGTGTGTTCATCCAATCATAATTCACTTTGTATATATGTTTGTTTATGTTTAGTCGCCTGTAAGTTCTTATATGTAAGTTTCTGTATGTTTGTTTGATTATTAATTTTATTAACTTTGGTTACTATTTTTTAAATTTTATTGAAAACGCAGTTGTTGTTGAAAGTTTTATTTTTTTTTAATCAATCATACAAAATTTTTTAAAAGATTTAAAGAATAAAAAACTTATCTAGATTATTATTTACATAATAATCTAGATAAACTAACAATTTTTAATAAAACTTATTTAAACTTATATAATTTAAAAAATTAAATGAAAAATTTTCATTTTATAAACGATCAACAAAAGTAAATCATCGCACTTTAATGATTATTTATAAATTTGATTGTTTTAGCATGTCAAATAGTATCGGACAATACATTTTTGTTTTAACATGTTCGCTTCTAACAAGGCTGCAAGCAATCACTATTAGAGTTACTGGAAGAGAAACGATAAAGGTTGTAGAGCAAGATAATGATTGACAAACCACTAAAAAAATTGCAAATTATATAAATCAGGAAAGCAAGATGAAGGAAGCAAAGTCCAAAGAACTGATGTTTGAGGTAAAAAACTAGAGAAATAAGAGTTTTTGGAGCATTTAGGAAAAATCAGAGAGAAAAGGAAGAGACTTAACTGAATGACGAGTAACACGAGAATAAATTTTAGTAGATAACACAAGAGATGCTAGCTCTTTAGAGCAGTACCCATTATACTATTTGTAGAAATGAGAAAGAGAAGCAACATCA